GGGAAGGCACAGTGGTTAAATCACTAGGCTCTGAATGGAAAATTAGAGGTTCAAATCTTAACTCCCAATTTATTAGCTGTATAACATTGAAATAGTTGCCTCATGAGATTATTATGAATATTAAACAAGATCACGCATATTGAGCACTTAGCCTTGTAATTGGTACTTAGCATACGGTCAACAAATTTTGCTGTTATTAATATTATAGACCCTGCAGACTAGTTTATAGCTCAGATAATACTCTTAGGGCATGTTTTCAGAGCAGAAGTGAAAGCTTTAATTCTTTAATTCAATTTTTGCTTCCTCCCACCACCCCAAAAGCTAGTATATAATAAAGGATTTGTCGCAAAATGCAGAATTTCTTGGCAAACAGCAGATATCATCAGATCTGGAGGGAGGTTGTAAACATTAATTGATAGATGAAGGTAGGAGAGCATCCTAAGCGAAGGGAGCACCGTGAGCAAAAGCAAAGAAATAAGGATGAGCTAGATGTCAAGTGACCCTAGGAGGCAGATCCGAGTAGAGCACACGGATCCTGGAGTAATGAAAAAACTGAGGTAAATTTACATCAGTGACTATAAGAAATGATGCTAGATTTTGTAATAGAAAAATAATTTAATGAAAAATATATTTGTGTGAGTAAGCTGTGTGTAAAGTAAATATTAAAATGCAATTAAAATGGAACTTTTTTTAGGATAGAAATAGCATCGACTTAGTCCTATTTTCTTACTTGCACATAAATGTAGTAGGCCAGATGTTTCTTAGGGAAAAAAAGCAAAATCAACTCTAAATTATCTCTAAGTAATATATATTGTGATGTGTCTGTTATCAGTACTTAATTATGGGTTGTTCCCAAATTAGATTCTTACCCATGCCATCTAGCCTCCTTCAGCCAGTCGGTATTTATTAGAAAAATACAAATGAGTTTCAATGTTAACCTCAACAAAAATAAACCTAATAAGGCAAGTCTATACCAGTTCCCATCTCAAAATCATTACAAAGTGTAAAACTGGTTAGAATTTTTTAAGTCCACATACTACCTGAATATACATGAAATACTATCATTAACTTTAGCATAACACAAGCCTGCACTAAGGCTTTTGTAATTGAAACAAAGCAGTGATAGGGAAGAATGTCCAGGGAGAGTTCATGGTATTAACCAACCAAATGGTATTGATTCTGCCCTTATAAAGCATTCCCTTTGTTCAAATAGGAAGACAAGATCCAAGAGACTAATAAGCCATACTTTGAAAAGTCTCTCTCAGAGAGGAGCAAACGAAGAGCTTGAGGCCGAAACTGAAAGAACCACAGGCACATAAGGAAAGCTGTCTGTGGAGGGGTTTCTCAGGTCAAGCTACTCTAAATTACCATAGCATGCTGGATTTATGTGCAGATCCTCCTAAGGTTTTGGCTCAAAAGTAAAGGTTTAGGGAAAGGTCGACTAAAAGAGAGATTTTGTTAAGCTATGATTGCATATTATTAAATGGAGGGTTGCTATAACTTTACATTAAATCTATATAAGTACAACGTCTCTGTTAATGTTCGCAATACCTCATAGTTTTCATAGTTTTCTGTGATTTTTTATTTTACTTTTACAATTCTTGTAAGGTGGGCTGTTTTAATTTTCCTACTTTACTAATGAGAAAACTGACCATGAAGGGTATTGACACGTTTAAAAGCGTTGGCTTAGGGAGTCACAAGAGATTAGAACCCTAACTTAATCACCTACTTAAGTGTATGATCTTGGGCTAGTTCCTTTACTTTTTGCGACCTTGGTCTGTTCATCTTTGGGATGGGAATGATAATACTTATGTCATTGTAGTTGTAAAGATTAATGAGCTTATATATGTAAGTACTTAGCACACTACCTGGCTAAAAGTAAGCATAAATAAGAGCTAATCTTCTGTTATTTCTACTGTTACACAGCAGAATTTTAAGCTTAGATATAGGAAAACGTGAGAACACATGCCTTGGTGGGTGTAGATGGCGTGTGTGTCCCTGCGCCTCCTTCTCTCTTCCTCTCACGTGCTCTCTTTCGCTCTCTTCTCCTCGCACCCTTTCCGCACACACTTACGCTTGAACTGAGTAATTGACACCCATGGTTAGTCTTGGTCTGAGACCATAATTAGGTTAGCTTGGGCCCCCCTATTGTTAGTGTGCCTTTATTGTAGGTCAGGCACCAAGCTGAAAGTCGTTGTTAAGCCTCACAAGTTCAAATCTTAAACATGAAAAATAAAGTTTGACTTATGTGCAATTTGGTCTGTTATACCATTCCACTTTGTGCACATCTTTTATGCTATACTTTGGTTTGGCACAGAATTTCTCTTTGTTACGAACCAAACTGAACCAAACCGAACCCAGTGGGGGTCTGCCAGTCCAATACACACCTAAGCCGAACACTTAACATCAGGTTTGCAATGGAGAAAGTAAAGCTGTTTTATTTGGAAGGTAACAAGGAAGAAGAACGGGAAGCTGTTGATTAAAACCCAAACTCCCTAAAGGTCTTTAATCAAGAGTTTTCAAAGGGGAAGATTGAGGAACCGAGAGTTAGAAGTTAGGAAGAACAGGCTGGTGTAATGAAGCACCATTAGTGCAGGTTTTGATCAGAGAGCTTCAGAACTTGGCCGTTTGTAGTAAGGGGTTTCAGCACAGGATCTTCCTGTATAACAGACCCTTTGCTTCTGAAAGGCTTCCAGTGTTCGAGTTCCAGTCATATCACAGTCCTTTGGTTCCATGAGCAGAGCAGGGGTGGGGTGGGGTTAAGACTTTGGTTCCTGGTACAGCTGGGGGTCAAAGTTCTCTCCTCTGTACATACTTTGGCTGCATGACTTGTGTTTTTGGTCTATCGTCTCTGAACAGCAACTTGGTATCTTGTTAGAAACAGGATAGGACCATTTTAAGCTGGTTCGGTGCTTACCTTAGGAGAAAAAATATATACATGTGGTATTTTTTATCCCATGGCCAATGATTAAGTATCACAATAACAAAGGAAACTTTGTTGTTTTTATCAGAATCGTAAAAAATTCTTTTATATGAAAATCAGTCTTTTTCAACGTTTGATTCCATTTGAAGCTACAAGTCAGTAGCCTTTTTTTTATGATCTTGACACATATAAGCAATATTCAAGATTTTACATAGAATGTTAAGGATGTGTTAAAGGTTTAGAGGAAGACTATTTATTTTCGTATGCACTTCTTATGTTCTTAAGAAAGAGAATGCAAATCATTCTGTACTTAGAGACAGATGCTCTGAGAAATTTTAAAAAAATGAAAACACTGCATAAAGATGTGACATTTTAAAAAGTTTTTTCTCTTCCTCTTGTTTCTATGTAGAACTAGTAAAATATCATTTAAAAGTGTATTTAGAATTGTGACAATTTAGATATAAGAATTGACATGAATTACAGGAATTTGTTTTACGAACTTTGACATATTAAAACAAATAGTTTTTTCAAGGTCTGGTCCCATGTGGCACCTGCTTTCTTATTCATCCAGCAAGGACAAAGGCTCCTCTAAATAATCAGGATAGATTGAGAAGGTGTTAATGAACAGGTGAGAGGTATATAAAATTCAACTCTTGAAAGTCCATTTATGCTCTATTTAGCTCAAGAAGTTCTGAGTCTATATTTTACTTTATGTGTAAACTTGAAGCAATTCACATTTTCAAGTTTTTCTATAGTACTTCCAGAACTCACATAACAAAACCACTTTTGCCAGGCAAAGAAATATCATGACCTTTTTGAATTTCTCATATGATTTTACTTATTTTGGAAGAAAAAGTGACTTTTCATTTTATAATTAGTAAGGCATTGTAATGACAGGGTAGTAGTAGGATATGCGTTTGTCTTTTAAATTAATATTTCCATTAATGTATAATTGGCCACTCTTTTTATATCATATCTTTTAGGGCTCAAGTGAAACTGGTTGGTATGATACATTTTAGACTTAAAGAAAAAAATCGTAAAAACAAAAGTGAAAACTGCCAACTGATTAGCCAGAATTATTTTTTGAACAGCAGGAGCCCAGAACACATCTTGTCAAATGAAAAGTTCTTTTCCAATTAAATTTCCAATTAATGTGCACCCTTGTTGTCTCTTAGATACTGCCCCTGTCTGGACTGATAATTATGGACCACAAGGAAAGAAGATTTCTCTAAATCCCTCTGTTCGCCTGAAGGCAGAGAAACTGGAAATGGTAAATACTTTAAATTTCCATTTTTCTTCCATAAAACAACAGTATTTTCACATTTGGAGAGGATAAAGGACTAGAGCCATTAGTTTCTTAAAGAGTTATTTATTTGCAATTAAATGAATGGCAGTTTGAATTTAAATTAATTTATTCATGTTTGAGTTGGGCAGTTCATGTTGTTCACTAGTACAAAATGGAAATAAAATCTTTTGTAACTAAATTGACATTCAAATTAATCTGTTTCCTCCTGTGTGGGAATAAAACAAATGTGATGTTTTACAATGTAGGATCAAAGGAAATATGAAATACATTATGGCAAAGTATAGTAGACCTCATATGTAGTAGCAATAAGTGCAAGGAAGTAATTCTCCATTGTTCAATTTTTTAAAAAAGTAAAGGGAGACTAAATCCTAAAGAATAAAATAGTTGAATGCTAACTGTAAAGAAGATGATAGCAGTGTACTCATGCATCAAAAATTTGTCCCCAAGAGAGTAAAACATTGAGAGCTTCTATATGTGAAAGAAACTTAAGATGATTTTAAAAGAAAAATTAAAAGTAGAAAAGCATTTTAAAACTTGTTCTTGTCACATTACCTAGGAACTGTCAGCAAAAGTGTGCTATGTCTTTTTTTTTAAATATAAAAATGGATTTAGTTATGAAGATCTGTAGCCTTTACTTTCCGGTCAGATTTTGTGGATAATAATTTTTAACATTTTAGGAAGAGTTTGAAAATACATAGCAAGAATGTGTACACATTGCATTTATTCTCATATTCATACCTTTACGTAGTCCTATAACAATACCCTTTTCATTACAGATTTGAATCTTACCCATTGTTAAAATTCTGACACAGTTCCAACTCCTTCGTCCAGACTTTGCTAATTATTATAGTTAGGGCCAATATTGCCTTATTTTTTGCACATCTATAAATCACTTTGTAGTTCCCTATAATCTTTTGTGTGTCTTATTTTATCAATGAGATAAAGCTTCTTCACATCAGTACTCTGTGTACCTACCACTATTTAAATACCTGGTTTGTGTTCAATTAAATTTCCAATTAATTAGAATACTTGAGATGTCTTCTTTACATCTTCAGAATCCTGAGTATCTTTTGCTAACTCTTACTCTTTTTATTTTTAATATTATTAAAAAAAATAGAATGTGTGAGGTTGAAAAACACATCAATATCTAAAACTGAAGTTATTTTTTTATAATGAAATCACTTTAATAAACATTTCTGAACATTCAAGATTTAATGCTAACCATTGGTCTGGATAAGGAGAAAATTATCTGGCTAATGACTACCTGTCAGCCTCTGTTCTTTTAGCTGGTTTAAATTTTCCTAGTGCAATATATATACATATATATTTTTTTAATTGGATTAATTAGAGATAATGAAAAGGCATCTAAATTTGTATTGATCCTGAGAATTAGGAGTTGTTTGACTATTGAATCAAAATTCCAGTTTTGGTTTTTCTTTTAGCCTAAGCAAATTGATTATTTTTGTAGAAAAATAAAATAGCAATTTTACAGCAAAAGAAGACCACATTATGTGTAAATTCAGCTTCCCTTCTTTTATTCAAAATATTTTTAGTGACTGTATTTAGTAGAACATTTTTTGCTTTCACAGTTGAAATAACATTTTACTTAATAATATTTTTTCCCTAAAATCCAAATTAGCTTCTATCCACCCAAATATATCCTGTTACTCTTCCTTTTTTGGATAGTTACATATTAATATAATAATATCTGTATTACTTTCATTTGAAATAGGTCCTTCTATTTTAGTTGCTACTTTGTTCACAGATTTAACCTTATTATCCACTATATTTTAAACATATTTCCTATTTAATAATAGATAAGGACAATGAGATCAAGTGTTTAAAATGTAATAAAATTATGTCTTTATTTCTTTATCTTATATAAATATATTGCATATAGTATCTAGAAGAATGGTTATATAATAAGATTTCGTAAGGAAAAAGTGTTGACTGATTATGTGGTTATTAGTTAATTACCCCACTCAGTACAATTTTTAAGAAAGGCAGAGAGGTTAGAATTTGATGAGGGAAAGTACTTGTTAAGACATGTGTATGAATGGCTTTGTCTTTATGACATCCTCTTAGTTTTGCTTGTCTAAGTAGACAGTTTTTTATCAGGATATTCTGGAAAGTGATTTCTAACACTGGACTAGTTTTTGTTAAGCCCTTGTCTGAAAAAATGGATTGCCTCTTTCTATGAATACTCTAAGAATGATTTTTATATATTTTTAAATAATTTCAGCATAGTTATTTGTAGTGATATATTTTTTAAGGTATTTTTATAAGTGCTATGTCTCATTTGATACCAACATTAAACTTATAAGTAGGTATTAAACATATAAGTAGGTATTAAACTTATAAGTAGTAAACATAGCAAATAGAGATACAATTTATTATCTGGCTTAAAATGAAGAGTTATTGTACCTCTGTACTATCTATATTTTTGTATTTTGGGATACAGATGCCATTTCACTGGTATTTACTTTACCTCTTGCCATTCCTGTAACATTTGAAGAATGCTCTAGTGAGCAATGACATACTCAATGTCTGATTATAGTTAGTAAAATGTTCTTTGTTATTAGATTGGGAAATTTGTGACTAATATTGTACAGAAATGACATCTTTTAAATTCATCATTCAGACATCAGAAAAAGTTAAGGACAGTTATTTGTCCAAGTAATACATTTGCATTTTAAGGCAAAAAGATGACATTATTCAAGAAATTATTAGAACCTACTTTTTGATCAAAAATAAATGGCTTCCAATTTATATTCATGAGCTTGCCTGACTGACATGCTGTATTTGTCCAGAGTAAATTTTACATTAAACAAAACTTTACATATTACGAAGTTTAGCTGTAGATCAGTTTACACTGTAGTTAATTGCATTTTGCAACTTTATTATTAATATATTAAGAATCACTATATATTGAGTACTTCCTGTGATCTTATTTTCATTACTTTTGTAAAATTATTTTATATTTTTACATAAAAATATCAGTCATACACAGAATAATTGTACATGTACAATTTAAAGAATAATAAATACATATGTACCCAATGCCCAGCTAAGAATGAGAACTTTTGACATTGCCTGTGTGTTTCTTTTTGATCATATTATATATACCTTCCTTTTCTCCAAGAGGTGACTATATTCAAAATTTTGAGTTTATCATTTACATGCTTTTAAAAAGTTAATTACTAAAGTATTATGAGGTCGAAGAGTTTACCTTCAATTTTACTTCGTGTTGCCAAATTTTCACTTCTGGTTCTCCAGCTCTTTGAAAAGTGCTTGGCTCATAGTATACGCTCAGAAAATAATTGTTGGATTGGTAAATTGTTTTCTAAAGTATTTTTACCAATTTTCACTTTTACTAGTGTTATGTTAAGAGTTCCCATTGCTTCATATATTTTACATTTAGTTTAATTATAATGCATTTTGATTTATTTTTATTGTTGTATTTTAAAAATTTTTGTTGTTCTTATCACTTCTTTTTTCCCCCATTTTTATTATTTTCTTTGGTTTATGTTTGATTGTTATTTGGTTATTTTGCATTTAATTTTTCTTCTCCAACTTGTTTAGAAATTATGCCTTCTCTTGCTATTCTTTTAGTGATTACCTTAACTTTTTAACATGGACATTTAACTTAATCAATCTTAAGTTACTCAGACTCTTTACCTTTCTTTCAAAGATATAAAGCACTTATAATTTAACTCTAGACATAGTAGTGATTGATGCACAACTTTGTGAGTATACTAAAAGTCACTTAACTGTACACTAAAACAGTGAACTTTTGTGACATATGAGTTATATATCAATAAATCTATTAATAAAACAAAGTCACATATTAGTATGTACAGTATGGTACAATTTATGCAAAAATAAAAACTTAAAAATATTTTAAAAACTATTCATCATATATATTTATAAAAATATGAAGTAATGGTGTAAAAATGTGCCTTGGAATTGTCCATAAGAAACTTCATAGAAAGAGAATACAAAAGAGTGAAAAGTTATAACAAAAATGAAAGAAAACACTTGTAAAACACATAACATATAAAATGCTAAATATATAAAGAACTCTACAAAGCAATCAGAAAAAAGCCCACCAATACCACTTCTAGGTATATACCCTGCAGGAATTTTTACCTATATGCTGTAGTAGATGTGTATGAGAATGTTCATTGCTGCATTGCTGGTAAGCAGAAAACCCCGATGTCCATCTACAGGAGGGTGGATGAACGAAATGTGGCATGTCAATGTAATCAAATATTATATTTGTTAGTAAAAATGAATGCATTAATGGTACAATAGTATATAACCTCATAGATGAATGATAAAACCATAGTGCAGGATGAAAAAAAAGCAAGTTTTAGAAGACCGTCTGTCTGCAGTATTTTTATGAAGCTAAAAAACAGAAAAACAAAATAGCAGGTTAGGGATATATATGTATGTGATAAATCCTTTAAAAATGAATAATATGGAAATGATAATCACAGTTCATTAGTAGTAGTTATCTCCAATGGAGTTGGACAGGGGTATGTGACAAGAATTTAACAATATTGTCAGTTTTCTAATTCCTAAATGAATTCGTGGATGTTTTATTTTATTCTGTTTTGAAATATATATTTTTACATATATGTTTTTAGCATACATCAATTATTATCTAATACAATGTTTGGGAATATTAAACCCAACGTATGACAATTGTTACCTCTGGGAAGAAGGGCCTTTTGCAATGTTTTGTTAAATTTGAAATCTGATGTAAATATATTTAAATGTTAAGCTTTAATGTGCTATTATAGCAATTTTAAAAAACTTTCAAAAGAACTAAAATCTACAGAATGGAAAGATGTGATATATTGTAATTTTTTTAAATGTCGAACATTGTATATAGTGTAATTTAATTTTTGCCAAAAAACATGATTTGTATGGTTTTTTTTATATTTAAGTGCTATATTCATAGAAAAAAAGTAGGAAGAATCATACACTAAACTGTTAATAGTGTTTGTCTCTGGAGCAGTGGTTCTCAAGGACAAGGATGCAGGCTTTTTGCCTCAGGGGACATTTGGCAATGTCTAGGGACATTTTTGGTTTTCACAAATGGGAGAATGTAACCAAATTAGGGATCTCTAACAAAAATTACATCTTAAAACTCCATGTATGAAAATTTAAAACATATTGCTAAGTAATTTATGAGTTAAAAACATTGCAAATAAACATGTTAAAAATGTTTAATCTCTTGTAATTAGGGGAATTGGAAATAACAAACACCGTACTCTTTTATATCCAACATACTGACAAAAATTTGTGAAAACACAAAATGCAGTTAAGAATGTAGAAAAATGAGAGTGCTTATATAATAGTGGTGTGGGTAAATTGGTTGGCACAAGTAGTTTGGAGAGTTATTTTAAAAGCTCTAATAAAGTTGACTATACATACCCTATGACCCAGCATTTCCTCTTCTAGGGACATACTTTGAGAAATTTTCACACATCTATACTAGGAAACATGTATAATATCTTGTTCTAAAAACCAAGCTGGACTAATTTAAAAAGCCCATTAATCAGAGAATGGGTAATAAATTATAGTATAGTCATACAATTGGATACCATTTCAATTTAATATATTCGAACTAGTTTTGCTGATAACAATATTGAGCAATTGTGAAATCATAACACTGAAGGAAAAATAAAGATAATTTGTAAGATTATCCTTTTGTATTATACTATTTATGTAAAATTTCAAATGCACAAGAGTACATATTATTAAGGGATACATATAGTTATGGCATCGAATCATGGATAGGAAGAATACAATAACCTTAGGATAACGGTTTTTGCTGATAAGCAATGGAGAAAGCTTTCAACCAAGTCTGTTTCTTTACAAAATGTGTGTATATGTACACACATACATATATATTCCAATCAAATATTGATGAGTATTTGACGATAAGGAGCACATGTTGTTTTTTGTATTATTTTCTTCTTTTTGTTTCTTGTGGAAAATTTTGGAACATTTTTATGACTGAAGGCAAAGAACACCAAAAGTTAAGAGTCATTATTCCATTTTATGCAAGGCAAATTTTTATGACTGTGTAGACAGTGTAGGCAGATGATGGTAGACTAAGCTCCAGAATTACTTTTGAAGGAATCTTTCCTAATGTTCTTCCTTCCCCCCGCCTCCTTTTCTCATTGTGCCCAGCCACGTATACATTAACCAGTTGGTTTTTTGCCAAAGTATATCCTGTACAAGTCTTGTATTAAATTACCTGTTGCACTAATTACATTTATTTACAATTTATTTTCACCCTAGAGACCATAGTAGCAGCTATATATTGTGTGTCCTTTTGCCTGACAAATAGTAAATACTAAATATTTGATAAATGAAATTATGAATGTCTAAACAGATTCTAAAGGAGAAGAAATTTATAAAGGACAGTTACCAGTATTAAACTATACCTATATTTTAGTCTCAATATGATTAATATAGAATATGTTCTTGCCAGAATCCAATAATAGATCATCCAATCAGGCCCTATTCGTTAAGATTAGGTTTTCTTCTATATATAACTAGAGAACCTAAAATAACAGTGGTTTCCATTAGAAATTTATTTCTCTCACACTAAAAAGAAGTCCAAAAGAAGGTAATTCAGGGCTGGCATGAAGGTTCTGTAGTGTTGGGGACCCATGCTTCAACTGCCTTTCTGCTCCATCATCTTTATTGAGGTAGCTTATGAACTAGGATGACTACTTAAATTCCAACAACCAACAAACCAACCAACCAACTTTCCTATCTTCCTTCCTTCCATCTTTCTTCTTTTTTCTTTTTTATTTGAGCCCAAAGAGAGAAGGAGAAGGGGCAAGAAGTATCAACCACTGCTTTTGAAAGACTTCCCAGAAGTTTCTTATACAGTACTTTGCCTTTTATCCTCTTGGCCAGTCCGTAGTCACACTGCCTCATCAAGCTGCAAAAGGGTCTGGGAAATATCTTTTAGCTGGATGACAATGTTTCTAGCGTAAAATTATGGTTCCGTTACAAAAGAACAAGGACACAATGGACATTGGAATTTAACTAGCAGTCTGTGAATTTTTAGTCAGCTATGGATGCTAAAAGGAGACGGTAGAGAGAAGCTTTCTAGAGAAAACTTTTTCGTTTACTATTTATGTCAGCCTTGTCATAAACAAGCTAAAAATTAGAATATTTTGTATTTAAGTCATTTTCTATTAACTTTAGTTTTGGTCTCAAGGACAAGCTATTAACAAAATATCCATGTTTTAGAGTACTACTTATATAAATTAGTGTTAAATTGGATTTAATAGGATTTCCTTGCTATTTTTTCTTCTGCCATATTACATATTTTAAACTAAGAGGTAGTCTGAGTTTGAGTTCTAGGGCTATGTTTATAAATTGAGGATCAGCTAAAGTACTAGCCTTAAAAACTGAGATGGTGGTGGAATTAGGAAGCTAATATTTTATAGAAAATTAATCCATAAATAACAGACTTTTTTTGGATATCTAATTCTAGTCACTGTTCCTGATATTGATTCTTTTCACTGGATTGTAAAATAAAATTGTAATGAAAAGTTTTATTCTTTGGAGACTTGAAAAATTGCTTAACACGAGTCCCTTTCCTTCCAGGCTCTAAATTATCTTGGTATTCAGCCCACAGAGGAACAACACCAAGCCCTGAGACAGCAAGTGCAAGTAGATCCAAAGGGGACGGTGTCTTTTGGAGGTAATATTAGGTTTATTGTGTTGTATCGTCACTGAAACTTGGTCGAAGAGTTATTGTGATCCACTTTTATTAAACGTGCCTCTTTAGAAGGAGAAAGAGAAAAATAAGACCACATTTATTTCAAGTTCCTTGATCAGTACTCCAAAGACTCATCTAGAATAATTGCTCAACAGAAATAATTGCTCTTTCTTAGAATCTTTTGGCCCTAAAATTTCATCGTTCTATCATATTCTTTGTTGGTTTTTATTCCTCGCATAAACATTGCTTTAGTAATAACAAAAAAATACAAAATATGCAAGTCCTAATTTCACTACAGTGAAATTCTAATCTCTTTTTCAGCTAATATGATATGATAAATATTTTTATGATGCTGCGTAATTATTCTTATTAAAGGTAATATAATGTTGACATACTTAGTTGACATACTATAATATTAAGCCTTTCTACTATTGAGGATGTTGATAATTGGCTTCTCAGTAGATGAAATAAATAATTCTATATTTAATACCATAGTTTTTTTCCTTCTTTTCCTTAGGATAAATCCCCACAAGTGGTTTAGACTTTTGATATGTATTGATAAGTTCTTTTCCAGAGACATTTTACCACATGTATTTGTTCTGCCACTAGTAATATTTAAATATAACAGTTTTTCGTATCCTTGACAACATTAGGTATTTAAATTTTTTTCTTATGCCGTAGGTGCAACATTGTGTCATTTAAAAAAGCATCTGTATTGCTAAAAAAAATTCACTTCTTGGTTTCGAAGTGATGAAAAAAAAGATATATTTGCTCTCCTCTCTTCATGAAAATCACCTCAAAGTAACAGGGAGAACAAGAAACAGAATTGCATGTATACTAAAACCACAATATATAAATAGAACAGAAAGTAGAAGAAGAAAGTAAATAAATTGCTGATTCGAGGCAGGTAAAGCCCAAGTGACTGAAGAGATAAGGAAATCACAATGGGGAACAAGCTGATTTGTCCCTGAAAAGGCTTAGGAATTGAAAGCATCAGGTACTTCTGAAGGCTGGATGTAGGCAGGGCATTTAAAACACAATTGTTAGAAATCTGTATAAGGAACAATTATATATACTGTTCCTTGCCCCTTCTCAAGCAATCCAGCAAATACCAACCATTCCCTTACACCTGCAGAAAAGATAAGTATGTTCTCTTGAAAAATTAAACCAGAGGGGTTTGGACCTATAGTTGCCAGCAGCCCAGGAATTTGAGAGGCGTGTATGGTGGATTATCACTCACAACACATACCCAGATTGCTCAGTGAAATTTGCAGCCATGTTTATGTTCTCTAGGCAAGAGATTGTAGGATTCTCTCTGAAGAAGCTAAACAAAAATATTAGTTCTGTCGTGAAACCCACCAGTTGGCAAGGCAAGTTATGCACACGAAATCTCCAATCAGCATTTTGGTACCTAATTCTTCTTAGATATGAACGCATAGCCAAGGGTCAACAGACATTTGGAGACATCCTCCAACATAAAATATAGAGCCCCAAACTATCAGACAAATAAAAAAAAAAGGAATTCAGAAACGGAAATATTTTAAGAGCAGAAGAAAACATCAGGTAAACCATTTACCATCTTTAAAAAGATAAGCAAAAATGAGGCATCCATGAAATAAGAGTAAGATATTGTAAAATAGGAACAATCCTGTTTTAGAGAACATTAAAACAATCCTCGGAAATTAAAAATGCCAAAATAAAAACATTTGAGGATAGATGAATAGGTTACTCCATGTCCAAAGAAGCTTATAGTTTGCTAGGGCTGCATCAGGCCGTGTCAGATAACAATCAAGAGTATATGCCTTTGAGTCAGACCTCAAATGGAATCCAGTTCTGCTACTTATTTGCCAGGTGGCCTTGGGGAGTTTAAGACAGAAAATTTGTCTTAGTCTCAAACTATAAAATGGAGAGGATAAGAGGAAAAGTCTGAGGATGAAATTGTAAAGCACTGTGCCTCACATATAGAAGCTTTACATAAACATTAGCTGCTACTGCTATTATTATTAAACCTCAATTTCTTCCAGCTAGAAAAACTGAATCATAATATTGTCATATGTTTCAGAAAAAATTCTACTCATAATTAGTTGGAAAAATAGTTATGCCCATGATATGAATTTGCTTTATTATTAACTGATTTATTAACTTCAGCAGAATTAAATGAAGTAAGTTTAAACCAGTTTATCTCTTTTTATTTGAACTTTTATTTATCTGTCACTTGAGTTAATACTATTCTAAAGTAATTTAAGTTGAATTTTAAGCATTAATTATAACACATAGCTTCAACTTCTAAGAAAAGGTAAAATTTATTTAGATAAGGTTAAACACTATATTCTTACTGAAATTTGTTCCATTTTAGATTTTGTCCAGGTTGCCAGAAACTTGTTTTGCTTGCAGTTGGATGAAGTGAATGTTGGTGCACATGAAATTTCCAACACATTAGATACACAGGTAAAGTGTGCCCTATGGAATTGTCTAGATTGACTTAAATTATAAGACTTTAAAGTTATATGTCATATATGTGGGCTTTTTTTCATTTTCACTTTTTTTAACATAAATTATGCAAATAGTACATGCTTCTTGGATAAATTTATAAAATTTAGATTAATTTAAAATCAAAAGTAAAATTTCTTCTTGATCTCCCCCATTTCCCTCTCTCACTATTCTCTCATGCCACTCCCATCCCTAAATTTACCACAGAAAAGTACCCATACCATAAGTCTATACCCTCTGAGATTTTACAGTCTGAACCATGCTCATGTAATCAGCATCCAGCTTAAGAAAAACACATTAAAGAAATACATTACCAGGACCCTGATGCTCTCTTACCCCCATATTTCTTTCCAATTACTAGTGCTCTTTCCACTCCTCCCCCACTATTTCGTTTCCAACAATATAAATTGGATTTGCCTGTTTTTATGCTTAATGAAAAATGGAATTGTGAAGTCTGTTAATTTTATAAGTCATTTGTTCTACGGAACTGTGACATTCATATTGTCAAATTTTCCAGTCTTTTTCGTTATGGAATTTTGATATTAAGGAAGGTTTTTCCAATTTATATTAATTATATATAATTTCTATATTTAATTCACTTTAAATTTATTCTCATCTGTGCTTGAGGTAAGACCCCAAATGGATAACTACTTGTCCCCTTTTCCACCATCATTTATTTAATAACCATTCTTCTGCACTTTTGCCACTAATTTGAAGTACAAACTTTATCATATATTAAATTTCTATCTACACAGATCTGTTTTTAGATCCAGCACTCTGTTCCATTGATCCATTTCTCCATGCCAGTACTTTATCATTTCAATTATTCTGGCTTTATAGTACTAGGTTCATTATCTGGTAGGTTAAGTCTTTAATTTTTTTTTTTTTAACTTTTTGGTTTTGATTTTCTGTATGATCTTTAGAGTCATTTTGCCATGGTAATAAAAATTAGATTGGGACTTTTTTTTAAATTGGAATGGCATTGAATTTAGAGGATGGTTTGGGAGATGATGGATGTGGTTCATTTCTCCATTCATTTAAGTCTTAGTTTTGGAGAGAGTATTATAGCTTGCTTCATGTATGTCTTTAATAGTTCTTGTTAGGTCTGCATAGGTATGCTATAGTTTTCATGCTGTTGGGAAATAGGATTTTATTTTACCATTATATTTTCTAATTTATGATTAGTGAAGATATTAATTTTGAATGATATTTTTTGTGATGCCACTTTAATATTTTTGTTGTGGTTGCTGCTTTGAAACTTAGTTTGAACTGTTTTAAATAAACATTTTCTAGTTACATAGTTTCCCTTGGTTACTGATTTCTAGTTTAATTTTACTGAGGATAGAGACATATTCTATATGGTATTAACTCTTCGACCATAAAGTCCACATATAGTCAATTTTATTAAATCTTTCCCATCTTTTGAAAACCATGTAGATTCTGCAGTTGTTGAGCACACTGCTCCCCATATGTCAGTTAGATCTATGTTGTTAGTCTTGTGGTTCAAATTTTCTATTCCTTTTTTTTTTTTTCAAACTTCTATTCCCTTACTCATTTTTGTCATCTTTTATTGTCGTTAATTAAGAGAGGTGTTGTAAAATTTCCCCCATTTGGTTCTGGTAATATGTGCTTTACGTATCATGAGGCTGTATTATTAGGTGTATAGATTTTTAGGATTGTTATGTCTTGACAGGATATTGAATTTCTTTATCTCTAGACTATTTCTTGCCTTAAAATTAACTTGGTATAATTGTGTAGCTATACCACCTTCTTTTGGTATTTTGGTTTGGTTTCCAATAATTATAAGTATTTTCCTTTTTTTAAAGAAAACTGTTATATAGCATTTTAAAGTGTATCTAATGGGATCTAAATACTATAATTTTTGATATCTACAATCATTTATTTATAAGAAAATTCACATATAAACTTTGATTGTCAGAAATTTATCATCTTTCCTTTTCCTCCATTAACTCTTATTTCTATTCTATATCGCCCTAGAATGCTATCCTTATATATTATAATTTCAAGGTCTCTCATTGATCATCCTATCATTTTGCTTCAAAAAAATTTAGCTAAAATGTATTGGTTTTAATTCACTATGTTTATAAGTGCTTCCATGTTATAATTTTCACGAAAAAATTGTAATATGTAAGAATTGAGTAGTAACTATACTTATTGTTGGTACACAATTAACCAAAAAAAATGATACAAATTTTGATCAATTATTTTATAAAGGTAATTTTAAAAATATAAATTCAAATTTCAGTTTATGGAAGGATTATTTGCAGTCTGGCCCATTCATTTACAAAGCGTTTCCATATTTTCATGGCCGTTTCTGGACTCTTTATTCTGCTGGACTCTCTATTCTGCTGGTTTTATTTGGCTCTGTGAGTCTTGATATCTGATAAGACACATCTTCCCACCTTCTTCTTTTTAATTATTGCTTTGGCTAATCTTTGTTCTTACCTTGTACATATAAGTTCTAGCAAAAATTTTGCTGTATTAAATTTATAGATTATGTTGGGAAGAAGCAACATCTTTATAAATTTAAATTTTTCTACCTGTGAACATGGTTTGGCTTATTTATATCTTCTTTAAAGACATATAATACTTTTGATATATTTTTTCCAATAGAAGCTTCATTAACCTTTTATTCAATTTATTTCTAGTTACTTTACACCTTTTTTGCCCTTATAATACATGGTGCCTTTTTAAAATTAAAACTTTATTTTTTTAGAGCAGTTTTAGGTTCACAGTAAACTTGAGGGGAGGGTACAGAAATTTCCCATTTGCCCTTTGCCCCCACACACGCAAAGCCTCACACATCAACATCCTCCACCAGAGTGGTATGTTAGTTACAACTGAGGAATCTACACTGAGACATCACCTAAATCACCTGAAGTCCCTAGTTTACATTATGGTTCACTCTTAGTGTGCATTCTGTGTGGGTTTAGACAAATGTATAATGACATACGTAGATCATTATGGTATCATACTGTGTATTTCACTGCTCTAAAAGTTCTCTGCACTTCACCTTTTCATCTCTACCCCCGACTCCTGGCAATCACTGATGCTTTAATTATCTCCATAGATTTGCGCTTTCCAGAATGTCATATAGTTGGAATCATACAATGTGTAGTAACCTTTTCAGATTGGCTTCTTTCACTTGGTAATATGTATTTAAGGTTCTTCCATGTCTTTTCATGCCTTTTTAGCATTGATTAATATTCCACTGTCTGGATATACCACAGTTTATTTATCTACTCACCTATTAGAAGACATCTTGGTTGCTTCCAAGTTTTGGAAATTATAAATAAAGAAGCTATAAATATCCATGTGCAGGTTTTTGTATGGACATAGTTTTCAATTCCTTTGGGTGAACACTAAGGAGTGCAGTTGCTGGATCATATGGTAAGAGGATGTTTGTAAGAAACTCCCAAATTGTCTTCCAAAGTGGCTGTACTATTTTGCATTTCCTCCAGCAATATATGAGAATTCCTGTTGTTGAGAATGAGAGTTCCCAAAAACCTGGCTGTTCTGCGTGGTCTCTCAGGAGACCACGCAGTTCTCCCAGAATTGAGCCACTGATTTATCAGAATTGATTCTGTAGCATTTAGGGTAGGAGAACTGAATCTATAAGAGCACAGTTTTTCTTCCCCTGATTCAGGTGTTATGTATTTATCTCTCTAATATTGACAGCAGAGCATTGTTTTCTTACTGGCAAACTGTTCTCAAAGCTACCATACCCACTTTTGCTGAGAAAAGGCAAAGGTGGTTAAGTGGCTACCATATAAGTGAAGTGGGGAATTCAGAGTACTTTGTATGAGCTTGCAGAGCTTTCTTAGAAGCTCAAAGAAATACTCGTGCTCCAAATTACTAATTTACTTCTTACCAATATGATTTTAGGGCAGATAAGAATGCATTCAGTCTGTGATATTTTGACAACAAAAGCAAAGTGCTGATGGTAATTGTGCAAGGTCTTCTGCATGCCAATAGTTTACTGTTTGTAGCTTCAAATAAAAATGTTGGTCAATAGTTATTATATTAATTTATAAGATTTCCTTTGTTGCTTTATGCTTTTCAGCAGACGGAAGACATGCCTATAAAATGTTGGATTTCCTTCTATTTCACTTGAATTCACAATTTTACTTTACCGTATTCACATATAAAAATGTCAAGGCATTACTTTTTCTACGTCATCACATTCTTATTTAATTATATTCAATTCTATTTTGTTAACTATTTGGTCTTACAATTCACTAATGAGTCATGTACCGAAATTTGGAAAATATGATAAAAATCACTACTTGTCAATTAGCTCCTAGAAACAAAGCAAAACTATCTCATTATTTTATAGTATTATAATTCCCTTTTTTTTTTTTATTTTGAGTTGATAAACAGTATGGCGCCTCATCTGAAGTTTATCAGTTGATCTGTGGTTGAGGATGCTGACAGTTGTGAAGGTGGGGAACTTCCACTATGGTTACCCCCTCAACCATCTCATCAAAAACAAGAGAGTCAGATTTTAGAATCCATCTGTTAGGGTTGCTTCTTTTTTACTCATATGTTTCCCCTTTTTGGCTGTCTTTCCCTTAATTTAATTTTTAAAAATATTTTTACTGAAGCATATTTGGACACATAGTAAAGTACAAAAATCTCAAGTGTACAACTTGGTGAGTTTCTATTTCATGTGTTATCACCACTCAAAAAGCTCATTTCTGCCAACTTTCCAGTCAGCCGCCACTCCCACCTTACCAAGGAACCACTATTCTGACTTATATCAGCGTAGACTAGTTTTTCCTCTTCTTTAACTTCATAATAAATAGAACTATATAATACATGTTCTTTGTAACTAGCTTCATTTTGTCTGACTCATAAGATTTCTTGAGATGCTATCTTTTAAGAAGGAAGAATTGCTGAGTCAGTATAAGTCCAATTTTTGTTTAGTTGACAAAAAAAACTTCTGGTTTTGGAATAATATGGCATTTAGAACCAAAAATGTAATTATATTACTGTGATTCTAATCATCATGGCTATATAAAAAGTTTACACAGTGCTACACCTGGCACAGGTTTACACATGGGAAAGGTAAGATTGGAGCCTACATTTAGTAGTATTCTAAACTTAGAACAGCAAACTATAGTTCATAATATGATAGGTTTACCACACTACCGAGTAACAAACGGATTATCTTAAAATCACAGCTAGAACACTGTAAATTCCCTAATGTAGAATTTTTACATTAAACAACTAAGTTGTGAATTGCAACTACCATTTTAATGAGTGAAATAGAATAGAATGGTAAATATCAAAGTGAACTATATGTGATAAGAGTGAGCAATGTTTCTCTTATTCAGGGTAATAACATAAATGGTATTTCTTCCTGTAGTGGTAAATAACTTTATAGCTACTTCACTATCTACTCATCTGTAAAACGTTAAACATATATTGAACAACTATAATGTACATGGCCTTGTGTTAGGTGCTCTGGCAGATGTTAAGGTAAATAAAAATCAAGCTTGTCCCTCAAGGAACTTAGAGTATAGTGTAAAGAAAGTCATGTACACAAATAATTATAGTTTAAAAATGCATTGTGTGATAAGGCCATAATAATAAGAGAGCTTATAACATTCAGAAAAGATTGATAACAGAGTTGGAATTTAAGTGAGCTGTGAATGATAAATAGGAGTTTATCTTCTCAAGAAGTGAACAAAGAATGATAAGAGTACTAGAAAGAACAAAAATAACAAACATATATATAATATGATGGTAAGCAGAGAATAATCTACTTTTTAAAAAAGATAATTGGGTACTTACAGGTCAGTGAAGGAAGCTGTGTCTGAAAAGATAAATATTAAACTTAGTTTATACTTTACTAACAGTGAGGAGCCATTAGAGAAAATAATGACAGGATCAAAGTGATATTTTAGAAATAATAATCTTATAATAGTGTCGGTTATCTTGGAGGAGAATGAAACTGGTAGTAGGTAGTCTAGGGGACAAAGGTGAATCCAAATATAGAAGAATTAGCAAAGATTAGATGAGGAGCCAACAAAAGAAGCCATGACAATTTTGATGTTCACAGGAAAGTACATTTTCTCCCATGTTCATGGGCATGCCTCAGGGACAACTTATTTTGCAAACATAATTTGGAATTAAGGCAATATGATATAAGGAAAGAAAAAACAATACATTCCAAATATACTTTAAGATTTTTATTATTGGAATGCAAAAGCCTAATACAACAGTTATTAAATTATATTTCCTTTCTGGATCTTCACAATGCTCATTAGCATATTTAGGCTACTGGAGCCCTGCAGGAAAGTTAATTTTTCTAAATCCTACGTTTCTCAAACTTATCTGACCGCAGGGACCACTGCCATCATCACCACCATCCAGTTTTGCTTTTGCACAAAACTAGTCAATATCTTTTGAAACACACTTTGGGAAATATTGTTACATTTGAAAATATATTCAAAACTAACCTAAAGGAATATAAGAATGAATTCTATGAGTATGTATGTTGAGTACTTATGAAAGAGTAGAATAACAGACAGATGAAGAATATGAGATCATGTAAATTATGGACAATGGCCTTAGATACACAAAAGCAAATGTGTCAGGACAAAAGGAACTAATAATGTTTAGGAAACATATTTCTCCCAAAACTTGAAGAATGGCCTCCCTACCTCTGCTAGTCTAGGATTTTGAAAGAATATCTGAGTTTATCATATCCATTCCACATGATTTTTGTTGAATAGTTAGTAAAAATCGTAGACTAATGTCAGATCTCTGTGGGAATCTTGGAATGGCCATTTACGAACTATCAAACCTTAGGCAAGTTACTAACCTTTTGAGCCTGTTGCCTCATCTGTAAATGGAGACAAGGTTATAGTAAGAAATTAATATTGAAAATATATAGTTCTTAGCAGTGTATAATAAATTCCTATAAAATGTCGGTATTATTATCTTTTTCTACTCTGTATTAAATCACTTTCTTTACTTAACTCTTTAAATTATATTTTCTGTACTTTATTTTTGGTTGTTCTCACTTCTATATAGAATATAGCTGTAATTAGACTTGGATCATTATCTCTCATAAGATTGTCATTGTTTTCTTACCTTGCAATTAACTGTCAAAGAGATCATGCTAAAAGTAAGAGAAGTTGTCAGCTTTGCTATTTTTTTGTTGTTGTTACTTCAATCATGCATGAAATATTAATATTATCTTCAAGACATAGTTTCTGTACAGGAATCTTTTTGACCCACTTGGTTCTTACATTTTGTTAAAACAAGACACCTGATCAATTAATATACTTTACTGGGTTTATGTAAAATATCTTAGTTGATAATGTCCAGGGTTTTGATAGCCTTAGAGACCATGTACTTAGAGTGGATGTCTTTAGAGAATAGTTTATGTCGTTAACTCATTAAAGCCTTTTTAATTTTATACAGTCTCAGAGTTAGGACTTTCATTTTGTTAAATAAGAATAAAGATAACAACAGAGTATGTATATCTTATAATCATCTAAATTCTGTTATAAGTAACAACAGTATAAGGTTAAGCATAAATGAATGAAGTTACCCCAGATTACTTTAATATTGTCTTTAATCAAGTGACTCCAATGTGAGAAACTGAATTTTATTATTGGAATGCAAAAGCCTAAGGCTCATCAGAAAGGATTTTTATGTTAGTTTTCATAACTAGCATCTAATGCATAATTTTTTTCTTATATTTTAATGTTGACAGCTTCCTCCTTATGATTCCTTAGAAGCTGATAAAATGGAAAGGCTTAAGCGTGAAAGAAATGATGCTTTGGAAGAACTGAATACACTTAAGGTAATCTCCAATTTAGCTTCCTTACATTTTCTTTAGAAAAAAGAAAAGAAAGAAAATTATCTTGTGTTGAATTCTGAAGTACTGGGGCTTAGTTTTATTTAAAGAATATTGACATTAAATAGCTTAATATTAAAATTAAAATCAAATCAATATTGAATACTAATATCAATTAATTTGATATCTGTTTCTTCAAGTGACCTTTAGAGAGTTAATTTTCAATTCATACACTTTTTATTTATATTTCACAACATCCATGTAAGATTTCATTGTGAACGGTGGTAGTTATTTATACCTCTAATCTGGTTGATTTTTACCCCTTATTTTTCTCACATTGGTGGCAAGGATGAGGAGCCAACAAAGGAAGCCATGACAATTTTGATGTTCATAGGAGAATACATTTTCTCCTATGTTCATGGGCATGCCCCAGGGATATCTCGTTTTGCAAACATGATTTGGAATTAAGGCAAGATGATTTAAGGGAAGAAAAAACACAATACATTCCAAACATACTTTAAGATTTTTACTCTCTTTATATATTTTCATTCTGTTTAGTGGAATATTAAATTATATCTGAATTTTGACAGAAAGCCATTATATTTTCCAAATATTCAGTAAAAGCAACAAAACTACTTGATTTACCATTAATTCTACAAAAGAATATATTTTTAAATTATTTTCTTAACTAAGTAAAATTCTATTGTTTATTTAATTTTTATTAAAGCAATCTTTATACTCATAAAAAGAAGGAAATTTCCTTGCTACCTTAGTTTTTAAATTCCAGCCTCTAGAGGCAGCCATTGTGAAACACATCTTATTTATTCTTTTAGAGACTTCTCTAGATAGCCAATCGTATTTTTTAAATGAATGTGTGTATATACATATATACGTATATATACATATATATATTTTAACATATATATATTTTAAACTTTTACAAATCACTTTACACATTGCACACTGTTTTACAACTTGCCTTCGTTTTTTCTCTTTGTTATCTTTATGTCTTGGGCTACTTTTCAGGTTAGTATACACAGATATGCCATATTCTTCTTAATTGCTTTCTTATCATGAAGTGGGTCTGCCCTAGGTTATTTAGCTAGTTCTTTAATAATAAATATTTAGACTATTTTTAGTTTTCCATTATTAAAAATAATTCCATTATAAATAGCTTTGCAGGTATATCTTTGCATAATTGTAAAATTGTAAAAGTACAAATTGAATAAGTTTCTGAAAGTGAAATTGTTTTATCAGAGGATACCAACATAAAATTTTGTTACCAGATTTTTGTTGAAAAGACTTTACCAATTTATGTTCCTTCCGAATGTATAGAGCATCATTCCATTACTGAAAGAATATTTTATATACTTCTCTTTACAACTTTGAAACTACTATCTTTCTACATTTTTTGGTATAACAATTAAGAGCTATGAATTTTGTTTTAAAGTAAATTGACAACAGTTTTCTCATATCCTCTTAGAAAACATCTCCAATGTTGGTTACCTTGATAAAATATCATTTTTATATAATTTATCTCTGCATAAACCATTAAATCTTGTGGTTCAGAATTTTCAGAGGCTCTCAGATCTTTTTTACTTCCTTAATGTTTTTCGTTAAATTTAGCAATATATTTCAGGTTTTTTTTTAATATAAGCATTAATTATTAGAATTGCAATTTAGAACTATATTCATGTAACATTTAAATGAGGCTTCCCTGAAGAGATATTCAATAAATCATTGTTCACATTTGAAATTTATGAAATGTAACTGAATATATTCTAATGTTTCAAAACCTGAAATCTCAGATAAAACATATTCTGTAATTTCCTTTACCTGAAAACCTGTCTGTTGGCTGAGCTATATATATCTATTGGCTGAGCTTGTTTAGGTATATAGAAGACTGAGCAAAGTAATAAATATTTCATTTGAGATAACATTTGTACTTTCCATTTTTCTACTTGTATTATACACAAACAAAAAGATAGAGGTTGTTAAATGAAATTCAGAGTGTATAGATGGTCTCTTATCGTTTCCCACTATTCTGTGACATCTCTAATCCTTGTTTCTGATTTAAGGTACTAATAAAAATGAAACCAAAATAATTTGATGCTAATGTCTAATTTTATTTTGCAAGGATGAATTTTAAAAATGCTGTGGGCTTTATTTAACTTAAAGGCTTTTTTCAGAGTTATAGTGCTACTGCTTTGCCGAGAGAGCTGAATGAAAATAGATATATTTTCCATTTACAAATGCAAAAAACTAGGACACAAAGAGTGAAGGTGACTTGCCAGAGACTAAAAAGCATGGGAGCCAGCAGTTTCTTGGCTTCTGGTCAGTGGCAGATTCATATTATATTCATCTTCATATACCTTCATTTCATCTCTTAGACAAGAATGAGCTGAAATACACCAGAAAGCAGATTGCTTCTTATAAACATTACAGTTTTGTCATGAATATTTACCATTCAACTTAATCTTCAAGCCATTCTTCTGTTCAAGTTTACAGTATAATCGTTCTTAAATTGTTCTTAGTATTTCTGATTTGATCAATAAAGTGTGGATTTATTTATTATATACTTACAATTGAACTTTTTAGGATATATGCTTAATTTTAAATTTAAAGATGATAATATTTGGTTAGTATGCATGATATTATTCTACCTTAATAACTATTATTTCATATTTCAGTTATACCAGTCATATCATTTTTATGGATGATCTATTTCTAAGAATAAGTTAAATTAGGAAAATGTTAGTCAAGTCAGTTTTATATATCCTTTTTAGTATAGTAAGAGAGACTTCTAAGTTGTAATAATAATGCTCTTCAGTTTGGAAGGTCTGACAATGATAGTTATTACCCACAATTTAGTTTGATTAACTAAATTTCGGGTAATAAACAAAATTGATCCTTATGAACTTATTTTGGACCTCAGATTTTGAGACTTTACGAATGGCTAATTAAGGTAACAGAATACATTTACATCACAAGTTTACTGTAAATAACTAATTACTTTTAAATGGTATGTATAAAGTCAGAAAAGTGACTGGGAAGTACATTTTCAGTTTGTACCAATTGGATGTTTGGGGAATTTAGAAGCTTTGAAACAAAACCCTAAAAATGATACTCATCGATACATTCATAACGTCATTAATTCAGTGGTTTTTAAATATAGGAAAAATTATCTGAATCAGAAAGGCAAAGGAAACAGTTGACAGAAGAACTCCAAAATGTGAAACAAGTAAGTGCATATTTTGTATATACCTGTTTTATGTGTGTATGAGGAAACATATGAGGTATAACTATAAAGCAATGATGCTATATATCTTAGATCTTATAGATGTAATATAGTATAAAATAATATAAATCTTAAAAACAATCATTTTTAGAGGCCATACCTGTCTTGAAGTGTAGCTACTGTTGCTCAAAGAAATGTTAAAATCTCTCTTTGAAATTGCCTTCAAACCCAGGTCTCCATGGACTGAAATGATCTTTTTCATTGCTTTTGTATTCTTTTTTTAAAATTTCTCTTTTATTTCTCTCTTTTCTTTTTTTTCTATTAGTCATACCTTGTATTACTAAAGATAAAAACAAAATGAGCAAATAAATGAATAAGTAATCCTCCAAGGCAGAGCATTTTAAATTTTGTTTTTTAATAATAAAAAGTAAAAATTTATTTTTACTTTGCATTATTCTTCAAAGAATTTTAGATAGCTTACAACAAAACAAATACAGTGACATTATCATGAAATATATATACAAATAAAATTATAATAAGAGTAGAAAGTTCAGAGAGCATCGTTAGAGATTATGGCCATCACCTGATTTTGAATCTCTCTAACATTGTCCTCTCAGAAAACAAAGTAGAGCAAAAAAAAGCATACAGGACCCATATCTTCAGTATGACTAAGTGACAGAGAATACCACAGCCTTCAAAATACATATAGATAGAGTAAAATAAAAAAATCCAATAAAGTCCTGCAGCTTGCCTGCCACTAAAACCTCTGGATACAAAGAGCAGAGGAAGTAAGGCTTAAAAACTCTGAAAATGAATAGGGAGAAACAGAGCAATGAGATAGAGTACAAATAAAGTCACCCCAGGAAAAGAAAATGCAACAATTAATGCCAG